GCCGGGGCGGCGGTGGGCGCCGAAAGCGAAGTCCCCAAAAGATGCGGGGCGGGGGGGCGGACTCCACCTCGCGCAGGGGAGTTGTAGTTCCCAGGCTGGAGCACTCGCTCGCCCGCCCGCTCGCCCGCTCACCCACGGCGCGGCAGAGTGCTCTGTCTCCGGCTCGGAGTCTGAGACCGTGCTCAAGTGCAGAGGAGTTGCTTGGATGCTGGCTGGTGGGGTTTTTCAGTGCAAGTTTCTCGCCGCCTCCCGGGCTAGTCTTTCTCTTTTTCCTTTTTTTTCCCCCTGAAGAAGCTGATTCCAGTTCACGAGCGCTCTCGGTGGTTCAGGAAAGCGACATCGTCTTTAGCACTTAGTCGCTTTCCTACAATGCAAAGCAAAAGAGACTCTGGCTCCAGGACTGTGTGGGCGGAATCGGCACTAAGGAGTTTGTGCAATTATTTTGTTGCAAGGTAGGTAGCCAAAAAGCCTGCGTGCAACAGACTGGCATGAATAAATGTATGTTTCCCCCTCCTTTCTGCAGGAAGGCAGCTGTAATGGCAGAGTTCCTCCGATGCAGACTCTTAAAGAGCGTGCAAGAACTAGAGACCCGCGAGCGAAACAGGCCTCTTCCCCTCACACACCGTTTCTCTTGCTGCAGCTTAGAGCAGACCCCAATTCCGCCTCGCGCCTCTTTATCCTTTCACAGTCTCGGCCGCACACAATCAGCCGCTGTAACCAACGCTTCCTCGTGCCAAGCCCCGCCCCCGGGCTTCCCATTGGCTTGGAACCCGATGCAATAATAATCTCCGCGTGCAATGAGAAGCTCCAAATCTGACCTCATTCCAATTTACAGAGCAAACTTTTTAAAAGGGCTAGAAGTACAGCTGAGATTTCTGCTGCCTCTTTTTTCCTTTGGCTGTGTGTGCGCGGGCACCCGTGTGCGCGTGCGCGCGCGCGCGCGCGCGTGTGTGTGTGTGTGTGTGTGTGTGCGCGTGTGCGGGGTGTGTGAAGAGGATGTTAATGCATGAAATTATTAGGAGGAGAGACGGAAATGTATTCGAACCATTATGTTAGATGACAAGGGGTTGGAAGGGGGGAGGTGAGGGCGGAATACTGTAAATGGAAGCTTTCTGCTTAAAAGCCAAGTGATTATTTGTATTAGTTCTTTTCAGCCTTGGAATAAAGCAGCAGCCTCTAGTGCAGAATGTCTTCCACAGCACCTTTTTAAAGCGAAGATGCAAAGGGAGAGGGAAAGCCCCAGCAATAAATCCAGGGTACTGAAGACCGTTAAGAAAGTGGTACCTGGACACCTGTCATCACAATTACTTCATTCACCCCAGGCAGAGCACACATGTCGATGGATTGTGTAAACCCTTTCGGAACAGTTCTTGTGCTGTTTGTGGAAGGCAGAGACGAGGAATTTTTGCAATAATTGCCTGTTCTCTTAACCAAACAGGGTTAACTACAGGTATTTAATGATTTAAACTGCCCTGTACATTCTGGGTAGCCCAGACAGAGGGCCTTCCTTCCAGACGCATTAGCCAGTGTTCCATAAGTACCTCCCAGGGAGACTGCTCCCAGTTTTGTATAGGGTGATAATGGTGAATCGGGGAGGGAAATAAATATTTGTTTACGCCCAACACCCTCCTCCCTGCAAAAACCTTTCTCCTGCCTGCGTATATATTTCCTCCTAGATAGGCTCACTTTCTCAAATGAACCTAAGAGACCAGGGCAAAGAGAAACTGGAGTGGTCACAGGAGAGATTGGAGCCTCGGGATTCGTGTGAGACCTGGCTGGTAACCCTCCTCCCTTGGTTTTGTGACTGTGGGGGTGTGAGCCAGTCTCTGTTCCCATCTGTGGCATGGGAACGCTAGGCGCTACTTTCTAAAGGGCGGTTATGAGCGTTCAGTGAGCTGGTGTCTGTAAAGCACCTGAAGTCTAGTGAGGCCACGGCCAGGAGGTGGCATGGTGGTTAGGCTGCTGGACTCCCATGTGCCTGAGCTGATTGAAGTCTAGGACCTGGCAGCTTGCTGTCTTATTCTCCACCCCCCCACTACTCCGTCTCTGGTGAGCGTGTGTGTCCTATAGCAAATTAAAAACAGTAATAATATGGACCAGCAGATGGTGTAATGGTGATGTTGCTGGCCTCCCGTATAGTCATCTGCGGTTCAAGTCCTACACTTGATGGATTAAAACTCACATTGGTCACATGTGTGTGCATACCCCAAATCTAGAGAGGACAAAGGAGGAGAAGGGGTTACAGTATGGCCATCATCCCCGGGGTGGAGGAGGGATTTCTCGCTTTATGTCTCTCTGTCTCTCCAGTGAGTGTACATGCCCTATAGCAAAAACCTCTCCCTAATAATAATAATTATGATGAGGATGATGTAGTTCTTTAAAAATAAGATAATGCTAATGCCGTTCCCTTAGCTAGTCCAATACCAGCGACATTCCTAGTAGAAGCGGGACATTATTCTAGAGACTAAACCAGGACTGCCACTGATGTGACAGAGTAACCACAGATCTGAGGTGCAAACCACCCGGGGCGAGGGTGGTCACCGTCCATCCCCATGAATTTATGAGAAAGATACTTCATGAAGAGTTTTAGGAAAACAGAAGCAAAGAGAACGCCTAAGTATTCAGAATGCAGGTTAACTTGGCCACACAAATGACCTCTTTCCGAGGTCTGAAAATGAGAAGGTTAGGAAAAATTGGCCCTCTTTAATGCTTTAATAGTAAATTCACTCTCTTCGGGCCAACCAGAGTGTTGAGAGTAGGACCGACCCAATGTAATCAATTTAGCTTTTGATTCAGGTCAAACTAGTGCTGGGTAGTAGATTTTTACTTCTGTCCAACTTAAAATCAGGAGGCTGGCAGGAGACCTGGGCTGTCCAGTTTAGAACCTTCCTGGAAGCACACTGCAGAGGCATTTGAGATCTCTGAGGATCAGCCACAAGAAACATGTTTTTGTGGGTAAAAGCAAATAATTTGGGACCAGTAGCTACCCAAGTTGTATACTTCCCCCCCATGGGGCTCACACAGTTACCATAGAAAGTGACAAACCTTCCCTCCCACCCCAGGGGGTGGGGTGGCCAAGCTGCAATTCCTTTCCTCCATTCTCCTTTCAGAATCTTAGGCATGTACACCTATACTCTCAGCATGATCTTTAAGCCACTAGGTCCAGGACTTGAACCGTGGTCGGCCATGCGGTAGTCCAATGCCTTTACCACTATGCCACCTTCTGTCCCCTACTTCTTTTTCTCATAAGAGGGGGAAAAAGAACCCTAGAAATCCATAGACACATTTTTTGCATAATAACAAAGCTGGAGTGTTATATATTTTACATTAGCTGGCATGCACAAAAACCACCCTTAACAGGTCCAGCAAGTGGCATGGTGGTTAAGGTATTGGACTCTCATATGGTAGACTGTGGTTCGAGTCCCAGACCCGGTAGTTTGCGTTTTCACTTTTCCTCTCTCTGGTGAGCACAGGTGCCCTAGACCAAATTAAAAATAAATAAATAAAATGAAATCATTCACTTAAAAAGAGAAACACTCTTATCAGTCTTTAAAAAATACTCACTATAAAATCAATATTTTCACTAGGATAAAAAAGAAAATAAGACTATTTATTTTGGGGTTTGTATTAACGAATGATTTGGGAATAGAACTAGTTTGAGAAGTTAGTCAAGGTATCAATCTACTCATTATACCTCTAAAGGCGTTTGTGCTTTCACCATCAAACCTGACTGGAGAACAATCGAAGTTAATCTGAGCGGTGGTGGTAATTATGTTTTTGTTGAAAGCGTTCGTCTTTTAAACAGGTGTACTAAAAAATAGCCAGTGGCCTGGTTACAGCTGGGTGTGTTTTCTGCATCTCAACAAACCAGACAGATTTTAAGGTCCACGACTACGTTCATGCCACCAAGGAAGAAAACTATCAGTGAAACTGACAGCCCCTAACTTGTAGAGGGGTCTCTTTTTCAGAGGTGTTGAAATGAAAAAAAAAAAAAAGCCCTCCCAAAATGGATGAAACGTGGCATTGGTAACTGAGTGTATGTGTGTGTAAGTATACATGTGTACGTATGCGGACATATATGAGATTTAGACTGCTCTTAAGATGTAAGAAAACATGTGACCCGGTGGCCTCCTATTAGAGTCATCTCCCACAGGAACCAGTGCATGGTAAAATGTAGTGGGCCTCTGAATGCCGAATAATGGGTGTGGGGAGGGATCTGATTGGAAATTGATCTAACACATCTCGGGGATTTGCACTGATTGGCAAGAGTTTGCCTGGCCTTGGTGAAGACAGTGACCTTAAGTATTCCATTCAAGTGGGAAAAAGAGGGGGAACCCATTGTTTTAACAGAGAAGCCGTGGGAACGTCTATGTCATTGGCCTTTGTCACGGGAGAGTCCTCAGGCTTTCTTGGTTCCACACTTATGGACCAGAACCTTCTATCCAAGGCTGATTTACTTCTCCATCAAGTAGACAAACCTATCTTGCAGGGTGGTGGCCCTTCCCGGGAGAAGCGGTACTGGACCTGGGGAACAGTATGGTGGAGGAATTATAAAACATAGTACATGATATAATCTGCAAAACATCAGAAAGGATTCTGGGGTAAATCCGATTTATTTTTACTTTTAGAATAAACTAAGAGATAGGTCATTTGCATTTATAAAAAATTTGTAACCACTTTCTTGTCCCCAACCAGAGACTGGCATGCATTTAGTAAACTCAAGAAAGCTCTGGAGGTCGGTGCCAACTCATGATTCCTCTCGTCTCGATGTTGTCTCTAGAGCAGGAGGGACAGGGGTGGGGGCACGAAAGCCGGGAAGCTGGAACCCAGGCGCTCCACCTTTCTCTAGGGAGGCCCGCACACTCCCAGAGCCTGGGTTT